CTTTAAAACCCGGAAAATGACCATTTTCTTGACTAGGTACATCAGGTACAACCACATTAATTTGTTTCTTGATAAATGATTTGTTTAAAGCATTAACATCAGAATAAGCATCAACAGACATTTGTTTTTTACTTGTAAGTTTATTGAAAAGTTTCCAAATGTTTGAAGGATTTTTACGTGATAAAAATTTTTCATTATATAGTCTGTTCAACCTTTCTATTTCAATTTTTATTTGGGTGTTTATTTTACGGACACCAGTATTATCACAATTCTTATACAACTTCTCTTTTTGTCTTCTAAGTTTTTTCAGTTGCACAGAAGAGATTCTGTCAAATCTCGAAAACAGTGTTTCATATGGACAGCAAATTTCCAAACAAAACTTCAGATAATCGGTTATATTAGAGACAGTAGCATCCAACTTATCGTCAGTAAATAGTTCCCAGTTGGTATCATGCAACATGCTTCTTAATGCTAGAATGTTGTCATGGGAATATGAACGTTCATGTATCTTCTTTGTTAAATGACTAAACAATTTTCGTTGTAACTTGCCGTACACTTTCGGTAAAATACGAATAATGCAGTGGTCAGAATTTAACAAAGGAGCTCTCCTTCGGGTTTCATATACATCACGGTCATTTATGAAAACCAGGTCTAGTGATTTGTCCAGACGTGTATTAAACTTGACTAGATTCTCATGACCAAGTGAAGTAAGAAAGCTGTGATCACATGAATTAAAATCACCACAGACTATAGACAACGAGTTTCCGAATGCAGGAGCAGCGAATTCAGTAAACTCATCTGCAAACATAACTATATTAGAAAGGCTACAATTGGGTGTTATGTAAATATTTGTTATGTATATATAAGAATATTTACTTAAGTGTTTTGGGCGACACCTGAATTGAATATTGTGCAGGCCAAAGGATCCAGCAGCAAAAGAAGACTGGATCAATACCATTTACAAATGAAATATGATAAACACTACATTGGTCAAAGTGGTCACCATTTTCGACACAGAATCTAAGAATATAATTTAACTGTGAGAAAGACACGATAGTTATTCTTTTATGTAGACAGTTATGGACGCTGATTTAATTGAGAAAACGTAGGAATTTTGAACAGAGGAAAACACCAAATAAATGCCAGGGGATTACTAGAAGCTCAGCTGCATCAGCGACTAACAAACATCAATACAGATCAAACTTACCAACTGATGAAAAATAAATCACCTAACAAGAAATTTCAAAATCCAAGTGAATAAAAGTTAGCAGTAAAGACGTAGATGAACAACCAATCAAGACAGTGGTAGTTAGGAGATACAACTGTATGATTCATAGAGAATTCAAGTTTTCGCTGAAGATGTTGTTCAGAAAGACAATGAAAGTTTTAAATGAACCAAATCAGAGAACACAACCAAACCAAGGAGAACTCACATACCCAGGTACTAATTGGTAGAAGCGACCATATAGCAGTAGTAGTGTTTGGCTTGGTAACTAGGAGACAGTTGACCTCAGAAAACTCCTCAAGGCGAACATAAAAGCTAGGTAAAACCGGGGATTTTTAATAAAATATCTAGAATTGAACACATGCTTAGTTCTAAGAAATCAGTGAAATCTACAGGTTCGAGGGAACAGGCAGTCGTCGAAGGGAACTGTTACTGGAGTTCTGTAGACTAATCTCAGTGATCAGATGATCAACATTTGAACTGTTGGGATTTCTATTTATTTGAAATAACCATTTGATTGTCTAATCAATTCATTACTACTTTCTTATTCACCACATAACGCTTATTACTTTCTTATGTCGATATTTCTGTATATTGTCCATATAATTATTTTGTGTTTGCTGTTCACACTGTGGAGTACATTACAATACGATTGTACACTTTTTACAAGTCGCCCCGTTGCCATCATCAAAAGGGTACATACATATTCTCACGGTGATAGGCAGGTTTACTCGGTGGGCTATCGCTTGCCCACTCAGTGATGTGTCAGCTGAAAAGGACGCCTCAGTATTTCTAGATCGCTGGGTCTCAAATTATGGTGTCCCATCTACAGTGACATCAGATAGAGGAGCTTAGTTCCAGTTGACATCATTTCGCGAGTTCACCCGACTTCTAGGAGTGCAGCATATCTCCACCACTGCATACCATCCAACAGCGAATGGGCTAGTAGAAAGATTTCACAGACAGTTAAAAAGCTCCTTGATGGCGCAATCTGATTCATCCAACTGGAGTAACCATTTACCTTTGATTTCGCTCAGCATCCAGTCAACTATTAAAGAGGACCCTGGTTGTACATTTGTCTTTATACGCATCAATAACGTCAGGAAAGGGCTACAACGTCCATATGAAGGCTCATTCCCAGTACTGCATCACGCGGAAAAATATTTCACTGTGAACAAAGAAGGTAAAAAGCTGACGATCTCCGTGGATAGACTCAAACCTGCTTACACAGATGACGATGACATCCCAACAGCGACTTCAGCAGACAAGCAAGAAATCGCCAAAGCTCCAGAGGTGCCAATAATACTACCTCCTCCTTCCATTACTCGTAGTGGCAGGCAGGTCAATAAACCTGCCCGTTTTGTACACTTTACTGTTTAATACCCTCAAGGTTGTAACAATTTTTTTACATACACATTATTACCACTTATAATGATTATGTTATTAATTATTGATTTACATAATTTATTTGTGTCAGGTACGATATCATTTTTTCCAAAGTATTACTGTTTTTAATGCCTAATCACTGTATTTGTGTATATATACATTCACAACTATTGTCCCATAATTACTACTATATTGGTCAGCATTTTAATGGACGTTATCTTTCAATGACAGCTTGTTGTTTTACTTCATTTGTTGTGTTATCTTTGCTATTATTATTATTATTATTATTATTATTATTATTATTATCATTAGTGTTATTGACTTTGACTCCATCGTTCCAATTAACATTGATCTCTTTCGCAATTTTATTCATTCATTTGTCATATCTACAGAGCTGACGTATACATATCTGTGTTTATTTGTACAAATATTTTTTCTGTTTGTCTGCGTGTTCACTCTCCGTAATTTGTATCCACTGTACTCCCACCTGTCTTTAGTTCAGAAGTTGGTGTCGAATTAACCACAAAAAAGTTAAAAGAAAAAAACCTTTATTTCTTCGTTTAAACATTATTATCATGACTATTAGTATTTCTTCGTACACTTTGATGTAAATGTTACTATAGAAGATTACTGTCACTATTATTTATTTATTTATGTCTACCTCACCTACAAAACAGGTGTTGTGTTTTTCAGAAACGATCAATTTTCAATCCATATTTTTTTCTTTCTTTCACCCTCTTTAATGACTGTATCCATAGATATCTTTCTTTATACATTAAAAATCTTCGTTCATGGTTTGTGCAAAAAGAAACCGACCTCATTTAATTGATAGGATCTTCTTTTTCAATTTTTGTTGTTGAACTATTTGTAAATGCGTTCAAACTTTACACGATTCAAATACCTTTTCGCGTATGTGCATGTTATTATGTATCCTTAATTTTATCCTAAAATAGTTATTATTATTATCTATTTCACTAACAGTGACAGTTTCCGGTAGTCTCTCCGGACCTCTAGGATGGCAGCCGTGTGGAGTACATAACAATATGATTGTACACTTTTTGTTAGTTGTTGAATTTAGAGACATTGTACATGGTTTTTGTCTAAAACGATTCATGTTAAAATACACCTAACTTCCGTGTACCATTGGAAAAACACTTTACTGTTGGGAACTTCGCCTTCTCTCTGGCGGCTACTGCTTACTCGCTCCACTCACACTGTGTAGTATCCTTTGGATTTATTGTAGGAGTATACTATCCTCATCCGAAGGCAATTCTGCAATCGGTCCACAGCATTTACCAGTAGACGCAATTCCAACAGTGAACGCCTCCGTGAATTATATTAATAATTTGTAGCAGTGGACTTTAACATTATATCCAAGTAACCTTTTTACCAATATAACTCATTACTGCATTTTTTTGATAATATATTGTTACTCTATCATCTCATTGACTTACATTTTTATTCGCATTTTTGTAATGTTAATGAGCTCCCTTGACAGTCCCCTACAACACATTTTAATGTAAGAATTAAGGACCATCAGATTCCTTTCATAATACCTCATATTTGAATATTGAATTTACTATGGACTATGATTATGATGAAAAGTTTTATACACTAGACATGCTTCGCTTGAGGGATGATAATCTCCAGAGTTCAGTTTATTGAATGGCTACATGGACTGGACAATGCCTACAGTTTAAAAGCTTTTGTCCAAACAGCTATAAACGAATACTAGTCAAGACTCTCCACTAAAGAGCTAGGAAAATATGCTCTGCAGAGGAATTAGGGGAAGAATTTATGATTCTCGAAAAGATTTTGAACAACAACTGTTACCTTCAGAGAATCATTACCTAGTTTGGAAGATGTGTGGAGTCCTAAAAAATTAACTTATCCAAATTTTACTACTATGTAAATAATGAACATATTGTACACCACTTTGTTTTAACCATAAACTCTGTACTTTGAACTTTACCTCGGGTTTTGAATAAATATATAGTTCTGCCTTCGACTCTCCGTCTTCTCCACCATCTCAACTGCCGTCGATCAATTTTAATCACCTGCTTTCTATCTCAAATTTTTGCAGGAGCACCGTAGTTCTTCCTACGTACTTTGGTCGACCTCCGGCAACGTCAACATTGGAGAATTAGTACTGGAGCAGTCTTCCCGCAGCACCTGGAGTCTATAACGTTTATTGTGGACTTTGGATCTTTGTAAACCCAAGTAACCAAACTTTAATACATTCTTCCCGTAACTAAACTGATTTGGTACTTTATTTTCTATTTGAATTTGGGTAACTAAGCTAACCGAGTGAAAGGTCCACCACAATAATTGGTGAGCCCGTTTCGAACCTTTTTTTATGGTTAACCCGTTTTCGAACCTTTTTGTTTCGATAGTTAACTCGTTTTGAACATTTTTGTTGCTATTTTGGCCTTTAAACTCGCATTGCTTTAATTTTTGTTACCACAAGTTTTGCTATTTTGTATATCTCTATACTTAAATATTTTTTTGACAATGGCTCCATATAAACGTGTCACTATTCCCGAAGAACTTCATAAAGGCGAAGTGATACAGAACTCATCTGTTACCGCCTTGCCGGATTCCACATCTATGAAGGACGCACCACTGTTTTGGTTACTTTCCCAGTTAACATCTCAAATGCAAGACTTACGACTGGAAGTGTCCGAGCTTCGAGCACAAAGGAACCAGTCACATACGGTATCTAAGCAACGGCGATCAAGATCTAGACGACGTTCTAGAACACCGTCTCAAAGCCGTAACATTTGTTGGTATCATAGGAGGTATGGGCATAATGCCCTGAAGTGTCTTCGACCGTGTATGTACAACAGTAGTAACTCATCTCAGGGAAACTCCCCAGCCAGACAGTAATGGCGACGGCTGTTAATGGCAATCACCCCAGTCGCCTTTTCTATGTGAGGGATTTGACTACCGGCACATTATTCCTGGTAGATACAGGCGCCGAGGTCAGTGTTATTCCCCCCTCACTATCCAGGCGATCAGCCAAAATACCTGGAAAACTTTCACTTCGTGCTGCCAACCAAACCAACATACAGACGTATGGCGAACAGTCAATGATTTTAAACCTAGGATTACGCCGACGTTTCACATGGATCTTCATAGTAGCTGACGTACGTCACGCTATACTAGGTGCAGACTTCCTAAGTCACTTCAATCTGTTGGTTGATATCAGCAAGAAAAAACTGGTTGACAATTGCACCCAACTCAAGATCCACGGTATTACATGTGACTACTCTGTTCATAGCATCTGTATAGAAAAGCCGGAGAGTGAAATGTTCTCTGCTTTATTGCAACGATTTCCTAAAATCCTTAAACCATCATACAACGTCGAAGATATATCTCATACAGTTACGCATAAGATCATCACAACAGGACAACCTGTGAAGGCACGTCCACGACGGTTACCACCCGATAAACTAGCAGCAGCTAAGTCGGAATTCGAACATATGATGCAGCTAGGTATCATACGACCATCTAACAGTCCATGGTCTTCACCTTTGCACATGGTACCTAAAACTAATCATGACTGGCGACCATGTGGAGATTATCGCGCTTTGAATAACGCTACGGTCCCAGACCGTTATCCTATACCTCATCTCCACGACTTCTCCTTGACCTTACATGGAAAGACCGTTTTTACTAAAGTTGACTTGGTCAGGGCATATCATCAAATACCAGTCGCTCCAGAAGACATTGCAAAAACAGCAATTATCACGCCTTTTGGATTATTCGAATTCTTGAGAATGCCTTTCGGACTAAAGAATGCTGCTCAAACATTTCAGCGTTTTATGGACCAAGTTACCCAAGGTCTTGATTTCGTCTTTGTATATATCGACGATGTCTTAATTGCCAGCTCATCGATGGAAGAACATATTGAACACTTAAGCTTGTTATTTCAAAGGTTTGAACAATTTGGAGTTGTTATCAATCCAAAGAAATGTATTTTTGGTTCCCCTTCCATTGAATTCTTAGGACATCGAATAACTGCCGAAGGCATCAGACCTACCGAAGATAAGATAGAAACTATTAAGAACTTTCCCGAACCTGATTCCTTAAAGAAACTTAGACGTTTTCTCGGGATGTTCAACTTCTACCGACGTTTTATTCCATCATGTGCCTCCATAGTTCAGCCACTGACCGACCTACTTAGATGCAATTCGAAGAAATTTCAGTGGTCTGAAGAAGCAAAAGCAGCATTTAATAATGCAAAAGATGCCTTATCCAACGTTGTAATGTTATCTCATATCAACCCAGAAGCTTCACTCATTTTATGTACAGATGCATCGCAGGTAGCAGTGGGAGCAGTTTTACAACAAAAGTTCAATAATGACATCACTCCACTTGCTTTCTTCTCCAAGAAGTTGGAACCTGCGCAAACTCGTTACAGCACCTTTGGCAGAGAACTGTTAGCCATCTACCTAGCAGTGAAACATTTCAGCTTCTTACTACAAGGTCGACATTTTACTATCTTAACCGACCATAAGCCTCTTTGTTATGCTTTCACCACTTCGTTGGACAGACACTCTCCGAGAGAAGCCAGACAACTGGATTACATCTCACAATTCTCAACAGACATCCAGTTCATCAAAGGAGATTCCAATATCGTAGCCGATTCTTTGTCTCGATGTGACGTTAATCACCTATCTTCGATAGATATTAGCTTAGACAATATTGCCAAGCTGCAGAAAAATGACGCCGAACTCCATACTTGTAGACGAAACTCCTCCCTACAGTTGCAGGATGTACCTATTCCCCTGTCTGATACAACTATCGTCTGCGACGTTTCAACGGGCGTTCATAGACCTTTTGTTCCACTAAGTTGTCGAAAACCTTTGTTTGAACATCTACATTCATTGTCTCATCCTGGAGTGCGTGCTACGGTCAAGTTAATCAGCGAGCGTTTTGTTTGGCCCAAGATGAACTCCGATATTCGGAAATGGGCCCGCCAATGCTTGCAATGTCAAAGATCCAAGGTACATCATCATACCGTCACACCTCCAAAACAGTTCAATTTACCCGATAAACGATTTCAACACGTTCATATAGATATTATTGGACCATTACCGCCATCCAGAGGATTTACTCATATACTTACTGCGATTGATCGATTTACCCGATGGGCTATTGCTTGTCCACTCAACGATATATCTGCAGAAAATATCGCTTTGGTTTTCTTAGATCGCTGGGTGTCAAACTACGGAGTACCCACAACTATTACAACAGACCGAGGAGCTCAATTTCAATCAACTCTGTTTCGAGAGTTTACGAGACTCCTTGGAGTGAACCATATCTCCACTACAGCTTATCATCCTGCAGCGAATGGTCTGGTGGAACGTTTCCATCGACAACTGAAAAGCTCGCTTATGGCACAAGCTGACTCATCTAAGTGGAGTGAACACCTACCATTAGTTCTTCTCAGTATCCGATCAACTGTAAAAGAAGATTTGGGATGTACACCAGCTCAACTTGTGTATGGTACTACCCTCACATTGCCTGGTCAGTTAGTTCCGTCTAATGATTCAACTGAAGTAAATATCTCCGACTTCACCAACCGCCTTACCCAGCAAATGCTCCAGCTTCGACCAGTAGCCCCTCGCCAATCACTTCAGAAAGTTCAAGTTAATAAGAATCTACTCACTAGCAAATTTGTATTTGTTCGCGTCGATGCCATTAGAAAAGGTTTACAACATCCATATGAAGGTCCTTTTCTAGTACTTAAACGCACCGATAAATACTTCACGCTGAACAAACATGGTAAACCGGAGACTGTTTCTATCGACCGTCTTAAACCAGCGTACACCGACAGCGAACATGAAACACTAGCAACGCCGACACCAATGAACAATCAGAAAGTCAATTCAACTCCAACTCTCCCTCTCTTCACTCTTCCCCCTGTACAGACACGCAGTGGACGGCAGATCTGTAAACCTGCCCGCTATGTTCATTTTATTGACTGACATAAACGTTAACCTCATTTAGACATTCTTCTCATTACTATTGTTGTCGACATTCATTTCATTATAACCATAAATATTTATTAGTATTATTATTTGCTGTTCGTCAACTGTACTGCAAGCACACGCATTCACCAAGTATATGTATATATCTATTTATATATGAATTTCACAAATGTTAACGAACATGTCATGGTTTATTATGTACATAAATTTTTTATTTAAAATTACAACAAGTTTTGATTTTTTTTAAATTCCTGTAAAAAAATGTATGTGCTAAACTTTATACGACACGGATGCATGCCATACATCCTGATCTAACTTTTTATCCTTATTGTTGTCATTGTTATTTTTTGTTATCCTTATTGTTGACATTGTCCCTTATTTATATTGCTTATATTCATGTAATCGTCCACGAGGACAGTACTGATGGTCCTCCGGACCTCTAAGAGGGGGAGCCCTGTGGAGTCCTCAAAAATTAACTTATCCAAATTTTACTACTATGTAAATAATGAACATATTGTACACCACTTTGTTTTAACCATAAACTCTGTACTTTGAACTTTACCTCGGGTTTTGAATAAATATATAGTTCTGCCTTCGACTCTCCGTCTTCTCCACCATCTCAACTGCCGTCGATCAATTTTAATCACCTGCTTTCTATCTCAAATTTTTGCAGGAGCACCGTAGTTCTTCCTACGTACTTTGGTCGACCTCCGGCAACGTCAACATTGGAGAATTAGTACTGGAGCAGTCTTCCCGCAGCACCTGGAGTCTATAACGTTTATTGTGGACTTTGGATCTTTGTAAACCCAAGTAACCAGACTTTAGCACATTCTTCCCGTAACTAAACTGATTTGGTACTTTATTTTCTACTTGAATTTGGGTAACTGAGCTAACCGAGTGAAAGGTCCACCACAGATGTGAAGGCTCAAATGTCAAGCAAATCACAGTGGGGAAAAAACCTGTCTTCATTCAACTCCATTTTACTTAACAGAAGATTCCGCACGTCACTAGCCACAACCTATTCTGCAGCTAATTTGGTTACCGTCTATCGGGCAACATGCTCTTTGGTGCAATCAAAAGTCGACAGATACCCTTCTCATGTTAACTCCAACTGTGTATAGAAATTTACGTGTATCTCCGGGAGTAGTTACATTGGGAGAACAGAAAGAAGGGCTAACTCAGGTTTTCTGAACATGTACGTAAAAGCTCACGTCTCAGAGGAACAAACGCCTACAGTAGTGTCATTACCAGGCATCTCTTTGATACGGGTCACGAGATGGAAATCGCAAAATCCTTTAAAATTATCACAAGAAAAATAGTCTCAGCCGAAGCAATCTCTATCAGACGTCCGAAAAACTATTTATGCTTTCATAAAGAGGCAGTGATCATTCTTTCTTTGCCCTGGTAACTGAATGTCTCCACTCTCACATCTGATTAAGTAATCTTTAGCTTTAACCTCATTCCCCTTCGGTATAATGTAATTCTGCTTATCTTCTCTTTCTATGATTTGTGTTGAACTCTGTCTGTCTGTCTGTTTTCGACATAGAACTTTGCACAAATGTGCGGAAGTTCAAGTCGCCACATTCCGTGTAGCACGCGAAGCAAGAGAAGAAAGTACAAGAAAAGCATAATAGAAACAGTGACAGAGGTGTGAGACAAAGGAGTAATAAAGAAGAACAAAACAGTTTCATTGAAGATCATAAGTCACAGGGAGTGGATGCATCTGCGCCACTGAGAACGGTTTTGAGCCATGTCACCAATTGTTTCCAACCATAGATTTTTACCGTCCCGAGGACCCCAGCTTGGAAGTCTACACCTTTCTACGTGGCTTAGACCAACTGTTGTGGATTTCATTGACTGGTGCCAAGTTTTTGTTTGACCGCCGCTAGCTTTTTTCCAGTCTGACCCTGTATCCGCTAACATTGCTCGTCGAGGGAGGCGA